CTATCACAACATACATGAACACATCAAATAATATACATTCTTTATTATGAAACTACAATTTGATAAGAGAAGTGTGTATCAGGAAAAATAACACAAAATGTTTACTATGCAAATTGTGCCACTCACCATGTATGGTAATTGGACAGAGATTACCTACACTAGAAAAGCCTGATTTTGGGGGGTTTTGGGGCCAAAAAGTAATTTTAAAATGATTCAAGCCAAATAAAAAAAAAATGCCCTGGAGATATTCACACAAGCTATCATGATGCCAAGTTTCAGAAAAATAGACTGAAGGGTTTTTGAGATATCTTTGTCTACAGCACACGGACTACGGACTACGGCCTACGGCTTACAGATTGTGATAGCATTAGTCCGTTGGACCGTTGGTCCAAAGGACTAAAAAAAACAAAAACAAGATGCCTGCCAGTCGACCATCTTTGATCCAATTGCGAAATAAATAGTCATGGACATGCATCCTAACATGTATAATCTATGTACCAAGTTTGAATGACAACTGACAAAGCATGTTCAAAATACAACATTTTCAAAAAACAAGATGGCTGCCAGTCGGCCATTTGGAATTAAATCGCTAAACCACTGCATGTGCATATGTCCCACCATAAGGTACTAGGCACATGCAAAGAATGAACGGATTCTGAAATATGACTCTGGACAGACTGACCGCGGACGGACGGACAGACGGACAGACGAACAGACTCAGGAACTCACGGACGGTCGGAGACATGAATCCTAACATGTATGATCTATGTACTAAATTTGAATGAAAACTGACAAAGCATGTCCAAAATATGATATTTTCAAAAAACAAGATGGCTGCCAGTCGACCATCATTGATCCAATTGTGAAATAAATCATCATGGACATGTATCCTAACATGTATAATCTATGTACCAAGTTTGAATGAAAACTGACAAAGAATGTCCAAATTGCAACATTTTCAAAAAACAAGATGGCTGCCAGAGACCAAATAATAAGTCCCCGTTTTCGGACTAACAAGCCTGCATGGCACAGTCGCTTTAGTTATCAAATTTAAGATGTATAGTTTTGTTTATAGTAATATAGTTGAAAAAAAAACATGTCAGAGATATGGATCTAGAAGCTAATGCTTGATTATGATTATTTTTTAACATAAAAATGGTTGACATTCAGTCATCTTGTATCTGATCATCAAATGGGTACCTGTTCATATTGAGGGATATTACTCTGGCCAGTCGGCCATTTTGAATATATAAAATTTGAACATAATCAGTCAATGAATGACAGATATTCATTAAAGCAAAATGGCCGCCAGTTAACCATCTTGATTCTGGTCTTAAAAACAAAATGACGTGAATCAAGAACCAATAATGTCCAATGTATGTACCAAGTTTGAATGATATCCATCTGTAAACAGCCAAGATCCTGTTCCGGAATGCCACAAATGCTTGATTTCAGTACAAAAATGGCCGCCAATCGGCCATCTTGAATCAGATCGTGAAACAAATTGATGTGCATATGTATAATATTATGTATGATGTATGTGTGAAGTTTGAATGTAATCGGTCTGGGCATGTCTGAGACTGACACACAAAGATCAATCCACAAGTCCCCGTTTTCGGACTGCATTCGAACGGGGACTAATAAGACTTTGTTGACCCCACATTTGAATAATTGAAATACAACCGAGAATCTGATCACATAAACATAAACCACAATAAGCAATCTGCAATCAAACGTGCACATAATTAAGCGATGTGATCAAAGAATTGCTACAAACCACAATTTTGTACAATTAAATGTACAAAATTTATCAAACTGTTTGTACCTGTGGCTCAAAGGCGATGTATGCTGTGTTTTTACACATATCATTGATATCTTCCTGAATAGCAGCTTGACGTTTCAACTGATCCAAATCATACAACTTCATATAAAATGACTGTGGATGTTCTATGTAAGTGCACATGACTGGAAAATATCCTGACTTCTTGACTTGCAGTTTTGGTAGATGTGACGCCAAAATAACACGTCTTGAACTCTCCATCTTTAGCATTGAAGATTGGGTTGGCTCTGCAACCTTACTTGATTTGGCCTTAGCAAACTTCAAGTGTTTCATTAAATCATTAATGACAGAACCTAATCATAGGGAAATAAATCATTTATTATTGTATTGTTTCACCACAAGGTTGGTTGATTATACACTGTAGTTTAACTGCATCCATCCTCGAGTCAACCAGAATATCCTATACTTACTTTGTTCGTAAGCCCACCTACACCTCCAAGCATGGATCATATTTATCTTGGATTGAGTTACCCACCTCATATCAGCCTCAATATTCCACACATAACTGGCTAAGGGTTCCCTTGGATTGAGTGACCTCACCCATCCCCCCCCCCCCCCGAGTCAACCTCAATATCCCTCACATACCTGGTTCATGGCTATCTGGGATTGAGTAACCCCATCCATCCCCGAGTCAACCTCAATATCCCTCACATACCTGGTTCATGGCTATCTGGGATTGAGTAACCCCATCCATCCCCTAGTCAACCTCAATATCTAATACATACCTGGTTCATGGCTATCTGGGATTGAGTAACCCCATCCATCACCTAGTCAACCAGAATATCCTTCACTTACCTTGTTCATGGTTCTCTTGGATTGAGTGACCACACTCGACCTCTAATAAAGCTGGATATAGCCCACACCCCTACATCCCGGGCCTGAATCATATTTATCTGGGTTAAGTTAACCCACCACATGTCAATCTAAATATCCCACACATAACTGGTTAAGGGTTCTCTGGGATTGAGTGACCTCGCCCATCTCCCGAGTCAACCTGAATATCATATTTACCTAGTTAATGGTTTCTGGATGGTGGTGGTGGTGGGGGGGGGGGGGTGGAACAACATTTATCCGCTAGATAAACCTAGATTGCCCATATCCACATACCTGGTTATCTAGGATTGGGTAACCCAACCCACCCATAGCCTAGCCAACCTGGATATCGTATACATACCTGGATCATGGTTATCTGGGGAGGGATCACACACCCATAGTTCATGTGTGTCTCCCATTCTTCTTTCGTATTGAGTTGAACATTTCTGATTGAGTAATTTGGATTTGACCAGCTCCTTTGCATCATCTGACCAACCTTTCTGAGTATCCATAGGTTCTATACCACCTAAACTACATTTTAGACCCTGAATTACGAAACAAATTACAAATCTATTAATCTGTCATCCACATCAATACAGCAAACTTTTATCTAAAACATGAACATGTGCAAAATTGTAATGTTTCATGGTTTTATACATCATATGGAAAATGTGGAAAAGAAGGTATTTACACAACATTACAACAAACTTTGAAAACATACACAGAATGGCATACTGTAAATTGCATAATTATTGCTGCTAGGGATTTTCAGGATTTGTTAATTTTATAACATTCATAAAAAAAAACATTTTGCGAAATTCACTGACATGCTGTAAGACCACAGAGAACATTTTACCCATACAAAATTTCATGGTTTGCGCAGTTTACATCTGACAGCTCCACTGAAATATTCAATGCATGGTAACTAGTCATTATTGTAGTTTTTAACCAGTCCTCTTGGGTGAATTCGAACACTCAATGCAGTAAAACTAATGAACTTACCTGTATAGGGAACTGGCAGAATTCATCGTTAAGTTTTCTCAAACTTGATTTCTGCACTAATTCTTTGTTCCCAAAATCAACAAACTGAACATGTACAGTATTATCAGGATTGATATCAAGTACTCTAGCTCTATACCATCCCTGGTCACCACTGAATTGAGCAGCACATAACCCATTGATCTGAAAACGAGTATGAATACAAATCCTTGTCAATGAGCCAATCAGCAATGAACTTACAGTTGGATGACGATTTTGGTGTTCTATGTTCTTAGTTTATTTAAGTGTTTGGCTGCAAGAAATATTTCCACTCAAAAACAACAAATTTGGTCGAATTTTGTTAGTCGAATGTTTGTATGAATCTGAGAAAACCTGTTTCTCAACTTGTCTATTTAGTTTCAAGCCATATTCAAGATGGCTGCCCCATACAGTAAATATCAGTAAATTAATTGCTTGTATTTTATTATCACTTGTACGCCAGCTGAACGATACATACCACAGGTGTATACACCAAATCTGTTTGGTTCTCACTGCCATGATACAATGTATTCATTCTATCCATCATAACAGTCAAGTCAATTACATTCTTCTCTATGACAAGTTGGCACCAGAATGAGCTAGGATTGTCAAATTCTGTAACCAAAACCTGAAAAAGAAAATTGTTTTCAAAAGTTCATGATGTATGAACTGTATACAAAAGTGACCAATTAGAAGTCTGAAAGACCACATCAGATGTGTGTGCGTGTGTGTATATATTCAAATCCAATGTGATGCAATGCTGTCTGTGCAAACGTTTGCGTTCAGTGACAGGATTCTATTTCCAACATGCTATAGTGCTTCTGCGTCCAATCAAAACAAAACAAAATTTTTCGAATGTGACAAAAATAACTTGGAAAGCATCAATGTTGGTGACACGGTTTACTCCATGCAAAGAAAAATTCAAGCATTCGAAATGAGTGCTGATACAATTTTTCACAGAACAACAAATTCTATTGTTTTTGATGCAAGATGCATAATTGTTTTTAGTTGTAAAAGTCTGTCAAGAAAAACAAGTATTTTTATAGAAATTTACTATATTTGAAATGTGAAACACCAATTTGCTAACTCTCCCATCTACATTATTTTATTTCACTGAATCGCTTCATTTGGCATCATTTAAGTAAAGGCACAATACATACCTCAAAAGAAGGCTTGTTAGGAACTGACTCGTAAGGAATATCAACACTACTGTTACATTTTGAAGCAGACATTTGATTCTACAGAAAAAAATATTTATTATATTTAGCCAGTATTTAGTGGACTGAAGACTCATATTGCCCACTCGCATATACTGTCAACAAGATTAAAGCCCAAATACAAACTCAAAATAAGGAACATGTATTGATAGAAATGTCAGTTGTCCCCAGAAACTGCCAGTCTTTGAGAACAACTGGATATTTTACGCCGAGGATAGAAACAGTACATGGGGCAGACAGTTTTACATCCCTTTGTTTGGCGGATATGCTAGCCATTATGCCACACATCAACTTGTTTACTTATATTCTATCAAGTTTTTATACCGCCACACATATCAATGTAGACAAAATTACATTACTAGATTTTGTTTTATGTAAAACAAATGATTCCCTACAGTAAATTATTCATCATACAAGTATATTAATAATAAAATACCTCAGTTACTAGTTTTTCTGTTTCTGTCTTCATGTTATTAACGGATGATCTGTTTGAAATGCAATTTAAACATATTTACAATAATACACATTTTATTCTTAACTAATTTTGATATAATACCATTTTATTGAGAACCCACTAAATAATATAAAGCCTGTTTTTTAGTATTAACAATAGAGAATCAAAGAAAGCTTAGAAAGAACTCACGTGTGCTGAGAGTATTGGAGACACATAAAAACTTAATTCAAAATTACTTGAACTTGATATGTTGATGGAAACGCAGAAAATTAATTATCCAAATAAGGTAACGAACAGATTTAAGTGTAAAACTAATAAGG